CATTGACCACCCGAGCCTGCGGATCTAGGACAGGTGATACAAAGGTGCGGATCTGGTAGAGGATCTGGTAGCGGATCTGGAACTTCAACTCTGTTGGGGCGACCTTGCCCGGTTGGGATAGAGCATCTGCCAGAATGTTTCGGCAGCCCAGGATGAGTTGAACCCGTAATCGAAGCCCCAGCTGGTCGACCAGGTTGAAGAACCGGATCGTCTGCTGAAGCAGTGAGTGGGAGTCATTCCCTGGTTCCGGAGACACACAAATGACGGTGATGTTGTCCGTCGAGACGCACATTCTGAAGGGTCTGCTTCCAGTTCAAGGTTGTTGATGAGCCAAAGTTTTTGTACGGTGGACCACAACCCCGAGTCAACCTGTCCTTCCAGCAGCGCTCCCTAAGCTTGAAGAGAGGCGTCAATGAATAGGTGTGACAAGGTCGTTAGCTCTGTCAATGAGACGCCTTCTTAGACATTCGATTCTACCATCCACCACCAGAGGTGAGTCATGAGACGGTCGGGGGGATGACGGATATGAAGGGGTCAAAGCGCCTGATGTATGGGGTATGGAACATCTGGATGTCAAGTCAAGTCTGTGCTGATGTCAGGAGGCCCAAGAACTCTTGCCACCAGCATAGTGTGGGGTGGAGTTGCGTGATTGGTGGAGTTGGATGCGATCCCAACTATCCCTGGGTACAGAGAGGATGTCTCAACTGGTTTGCAAGAGATCCACGATGAATTGTAGGAGGAATATCAGTGTGAGTTCCGACTTCCAGAGGTTGATTATCCATCCCAGTTGATTATGGCTGGGGAGTGCACAATCTCTATGGCCTCTTTGTGTCGATGTTCGTATGGAGGAGCTGCTAAGAAGCAGGGGGTAAGTGTCCAATATTGTCACAACGTGAGAGTCGAGGTGGTCTATCAATAAGACCCTGTACACATGGCGGAGGATGTTGGTGACGTACGGGTCCCCCAGGATTTCCCAGTTCCGCCAATATCTGCACAGTCTCCCACCTACAGGGGTGTTGACAACTTGACCGACAGGGGGTGGGGTTGAAAGTTTTAACAAACATCTTTAACATTCAAAATTGTCCTTCTTGCAATGATAAACCAATAACAATATTATGTTATTATTATTATGTCATATCAATGTGTTATATCACTCCCCGATGCCGTTGTTGTCCGAAAATAATTTGATAATCATCGAGTATTGAATCCATAATGATTTCGGATTTAGATTTACCGACTCATAATAAATAGTAAACAGGTGACAACAAATAGTAAATTATGTAATATCTTTTGAATTTAAACCTATTTCTTAATTTTCTTGATGATGGCTTACCAACTTTTGCATATTTTGACTCGATGTGTGACATGCGGTTCATGCTTCTGGTTTTAGCAATGATAGATAAAACTGCAAGTATTTTGATTATTTTTCGTAATGGGCAATAATTTGCAATTGAATCATTTACCTAGAACCCATATCCGTTCAGATTTTGGTTATCATCCAATATTTTTCATTATTCGCAGTGTTGGTTGACTTTGTTCAACTGAACAAATCGCATGTTAGGGAACACTCAAACGTGTCACTTAAGCTTGTCAACAGCATGTCGATGTCCGAAACACTCTTCTACCCAGAGTTCCTTGCATCCTGCAGCCAGCATAGTACCTCTTCCATGGGCCTCTGCCATGGGTCAGCGCCATGTGATTGTCACATCTTACACAGTCAATTCAAGATATTGCATATGTTTTTCACCTGTTTATTTTTGACATGTCTACGCTTCTAAACAAACATATGTCATAGAATGGTTATCTTTCAGTGAGAAAATATCCTGAAAAATAAAAAGGTATTTCTATTTGCGTAGTTATCCTTTGTTTACATTGGTTGTACGGCTCCACATGCTGTCATCATAGCCAAACGGATGGGCTAGCAATACAGCCACTTTGAAGTTTAAAAATATATCATCATGAACTTCACTATCGCAGTTGTATTTGAAAATCTATATTATTATGCCAAACAATATGTAAAGTGCACACAACTGCTTGCATTAGGCCAGTACATTCTGATTTCAGAATATGCGCTTTTGTTAACAAACAGAAAAGTCTGGCGATATGCAAATTAGCCTGTGGCAATGGTGTTATGCTAAGTCACCACTGCGCCGGAGTGTGTGTCCGAAAGCTAATCAAACGAAATCACTTGCAAACTCGATAAAAATGTGATAATTTTTACAAAGATTTATACATCCAAGTATATAATTTCTAGAAAATTAAGTTGGATATGTAAAAAAGATTGTAGTAGTAGGTCTATTACGGGACCATGATGCATGTGGAGTTACTTGTTTACTGCGACTGCCATGATCATACAACTTTCATCCAATCGATGATGTTATGATTCCGATTGTTTCTGTTTATAATTAATTATACCGGAAGTTGCTAATTTTTAGAAATTAAGGAACTTGAGTGTTTTCTTTTTATCAGGGAACTCAACATCATGATCGAACCTCATCTGATCCTCAGTGTTTGTCTGCAGTTGAATGATATCATGTTCCCAATTGGTTCTTGGTTGAACATGTAACAGAGGTCGAGATCACCGAATCCCTGTGAAACGCATAATCTTGATAAGACGCCATGAAAGTGATTGCAGATGGTTATTTATTTGCAGGACTACCAATCATAGCGGTCTCTCTGATCATTGAAATAAGTAACAAAAAGGCCCTCCAATTACTTTTCTTTATTTTCCATGTCTGAATGCAAGCTAAGAACAGTAGACATTGCCTGCACCAAAGCATGAATATCAGACGAAGAATATGCTGATGATTGTTGTCCAGTGAAGAAGCTAAGTGAGGTCGATTCTGTCGATCCATCCTTCTGCTCCAAATGATCCTCATACACTCACTTCCGTTCTTTACTTGAACGAAGATACACTCACTCCTGATCCTGCTCCTGACTATCGTCATGTCTGACATCGAACGATGTAGACTAATCCCACTTCTCACAGTCGTATCGTTGCCTATGTGTCCGGAGTCTCTGATCCTTAAGGCAAGTGATCGTGGTGAGGTCCGTCGATCCCAGTTTTGGCTGTCAAAGTTGTCTCTAATGCTTGTTGAGGGGTAGGAAGATCTTTGTTCAATTTCCTCCGTTCTTCCGAACTGAACGATTGATTTGGTGAACGACTCTCTCTCTCTCTCTCCCTCCCTCCCTCCCTCCCTCCCTCCAACAAGCTCTGTTGCGTGTGATAAGTGACGATTCTCTGTCAAAGCCCATGGGACCGTCTGTGATTTGTCTTTAGAACTGGTCTGATCTTCTGTCCAAAACCACCTGCAAGGGGAGTATGGTCAGTGGTGGGGACAAATCTCTCTGTTGAACCTGACTTGGTCTTTGTGGTCTTGACAGCCCCAACTACGACCAAACGTGGTCCTTCTGATGCCACTCTCTGTAGTAAGATCAGCAGGTAGAAGGAGCACTCTGTAAATTGTTTGTGATAGTAGCCATTGTTACGACTGGCATGTGTTCGGGTGAGGTGGGTTGTTTTAGGATAGTTTCATTCAAGGTAAAAAAATGAAAGATAAAATGCACAGAGTGAGATAGTATAAGTTTTACAAATAATTTATATGTTATTCTCAAAACCATTAACTTGCTGCTTTTAAATTTCCAAATAATACATGGTCACCATTGCAGCCATGTTTGAAATCAAATCAGAATTCTGTGTCAGTTTTCAGAAACACCATGGCGGGGATCAATCGTGCAAACTTACAGTTCCAAAGGCCTCATATTTTCAGAAGAGATGCTGAAAACGCAAAAGACAGCCAGACAAGAGGATGAACTTTGGTTCAGTAACCAAAGAAACAGAACTACCTTACAAATGAAGATCTAAGGGACATTCACACGGAACAACTAATTGGAACAATGTGTTGCATATAGTTCAGCAATCACACTGTGTTGAGTTGCATATAACACGGATCTCTTGAGATCTCTGACTAAATGCTTGAAAAGAATTGATTTTCAAAAGTTGATAAAATCATGAATACTTCCTGCGTCTCTTGCAAGATACCTGAAACCAGATACTGTTAACACAAAATCAGAATTTAACCGTATATATTACCCACAATTAACCAAAGAAAAATTGGATTAAAGAACATGTTAAAATTTATCAGTACTGACAGTACAACACTTCAATTCTCAAAGTAACTATACCTTATTCAGAGATATAGTAATGCTACGAATTGGAAATTAATAAAATGGTGATATCATAAATTGTTGTTTATTGAACTTTTAGCTTTGCCTAATATGACTAACTGATATCACATAAAAGACAATTTCCCGCAGTATCCATAACTGAAGTGTATTTGTGTGTGTCACATACTTTGTTGTCTTTTAATGTAATGGACCTCTCCTGACAGTTACATATCCAGCAGTTTTAACCCACACTGTGAAAAGATTGACGCAGAGACAGAGACTGCTAAAATGTCAACAGTGGCAATTTGGTTCAGAGATGTTCCATGTAACTACCTTCAAAGGTCCTTTATTGAATGTTTACACATTGGAATGGATACTGAAAAACAGAAGTTACTGTTGCGAATTGTAGTTGCCTTATTTGTTTCCAAATCAAGGTGTAAATATCACATACATTGCAGGTTCAAATGATGCAATGTGTTCACATGCAATAAATTGTTTTAAACTATTTGTACTGTGTGAATGCCCCTTGAATCACCCTTATCTTCATTGAAGGTGGCTCAATACCTCACCACCTACCATGATAAATTTCATCCTATTACCAATGATTACAGTGAAAATTTCTTGATCAATCATGAACGTAAGACATTACTGAGTGTATGACCAGGAATGTGAACTTGACCTTGTGCAAAGTGCAAAGGCTGTGGTGGTCATATTTAAAAATAAACTTAAAGCATTCCCATTAATATGGGGATGCTTCATGAATAATTTTCTTTGCACCATATCATCCTGAAATACCAGTAAATATGATTTGTAAGCATGGAAGAGGTACATACCAAGATCATTGCAACATGTGAAAATCTTTCATAAGTTTGGCAGATATAGGCAAGACCTGTTTCGTCCAAAAGTATCTTTTGTAGGATGAATGTGGCTACCTGAAATTAGACAAAAAGAGCTCATATTATTATTCTTACAATATTGGTTGTTGTTGAAGCCACACTTAGCAATATTCCAGCTATTTGATGGTGGCCTGTAAATAATTGAGTCTTGATCAGACAATATTGTTATTGATATTGTGAACATTGCTCCATGTCGTCGGGCTACAAAGACAGGCCATCAACCAAGAGATCCATGTGGTCGCTCTTTACAAGCCCAAAACAGGATGTTGAAGACCAATTCTAACCCAGAATCAACACGACGGTTATTCATACGTACACATTTACTTCCCCATGCCCCTTGTTTTCCTTGATTGTTCACAATTTGCTATTGACAGACAAGGCAGACAACTCACCAAGTGTGTTTCGACCTGGTGCAAATTTATTCTGGACTTATTCTAAACATTGTTAAACAAATGACTAATCATTTCTGAAACTGTTGCTAGTCTAAACATTAAAGGCATGTTTGTTATTACAGAATAAAAAGTTCTTTTGGGTGGAAAACTTATGTGATGGTAAAACCTGCTGACAAATTTGCCAAGTGTATAAAGAAAATTGCCATAAATTCTTTATTGTCCCTATCTCCTGCCAACCTTTTAGTGCTGGAGGATAACAGACTATCAAAATGTCTTACTGTTTTTGAAAGTTCACTGCCTGATTCCATGATTCTCAAACACAGAGGAATGATTTCAGTGTTCAGCAGAAAGTTGATAACTTCTTGCTCATCAGTCTGAAAATAAAACGAAGACAACACGATACCACCAGTCTTAGGACAGTTGTCATGCCTGATCATAAGTATTTTTGACACTTAATTAGTCTATTTGTAGTGGAATAAGACAGAATGTGCTTTGCTACTGTGATCTACTGATGATTTCAGTTTAAAATACCTCACACAACAAATAAGAACTAGAAAGGTGTTTGCATTACAAGCAGAAGCATCCCTACATTTGCCTGAATGCCCCAAAAGGAACTTGTAATCGTATCCTGAACATTTGACTTCCAATTATTCAGCATTCCCCCAACCCCAGAGGTCTGTATAAAGTGCAATTAAGGATCAGAGGCATTTACATATATCAGAAGTTGATGATAGATAGATACTACTTGATACAGATTATATTTCTAATCAATTACTACAGTAAGTTTAGGAATTACCAACCATTCTATTCTAAAAATGACACAACTGAGGAACCCTTTTTCATGAAAAGAAGAAGAAATGTAATGTGAACAAGAGGACAAAGTCATCAATATCCCCTACAATGGTAAATACTCATCGTGAATAAATATATGAAATCTCTGGCATTGAAAGTCGAAATATATTTGTGAACAAATCACAAACAATCAAAGCACATCAGTTCACCTCTGGACCCAACTATGTGCCAACTTTGGTGAGGAAATATAGTATTCCAGATCTGCTCCAGGAAAACACTTATCGCAATTTTTAGTCAAAGTCATTACCATGGAAACGCAACAAAATGAATTTTCCAAACATCCCAAACTATGAAAAGGCACCAGTTCACCACGAGACCTATCTGTGTACCAAGTTTGGTTAAGAAATATTGTATGTTTTTCCAAGATCCTCTTCGGTGATGACATCTTGCACAGATGGATGCACAGGAAGACAGTCTCCATTTTAATACAACTCGCACATCGTGTTGCGGGGGATAACGGTTACAATGTAGTTACTATTTGTGTTCAATAACACAACTATTAACATGATTAACATTATTTTTGACACAGGTTAAATGTCAAAATAAACATCATGAACATTTTTCAATATCCTACTTACAAATTCATACTTTTTTCTTCTTGGTCATAGCATAAGGTTTTGTGGTAACAGTACCATGGAATTTTACTGCATTAATAACAAGCAGAAAATAATCTTAAGAAATATGAAAATAAATGCTTAGAATCTAAAACCATAAAATGAACCACATCATGCTTGTTCTATATCAACTACTGCCATATTAACACCTCCAGTAGTTATGAATATTGCTGTGAATCGACCTCTAAATTTCTGATTGATAATGGACTTCATCAATCAATCTATAATCAATAATGTATCAGCTTCGAATCTTGTCACACTCTCAGAAGTTCATGATCAGGTGTTATGGATGCATTTCCATGACAGGTGATCTCAGCTCTGTATCCTTTCGTAAATACACAAGTTGGTCCTATTATTACACTATCTTGTTGTAGTGGTCAGTGTATTTTGGTCTGTATGTTTCCAATATCTATTAATAGTTTCTTCTTTACTTTCAACGAATCCTATGTGAACTACTGACTTCTTGACACAAATGTAAGTTGTCCTGACAGCCGTCTATAAATAATAAATCGGGACCAGACAATTGATTGACAGTGATTGACATGGGATACGATGACATGTTTCAACCAAGTCAGCAAGCCTGACCACCGGATCTTGTCAGTTGCCTCTTATGACAACCATAGTCGCCTTTTACAGCAAGCATGGGTTGCTGGAGACATATTCTACGCCGGATCTTCACGGGTCAATTCTAGTCTGAAGTAATCAGTGTCAACACAGCAATCAACAGTAAACCATGGAACATCAATGAACTTTCCAGGTTCTACAGCTCTTTCAAAACAAACATGTCCAGACAAATAATATACTCATACATATAATAATGTCCAACAGAAAGATATACACACCTCAGTGTACTTTATTATAAAGTTATTTATGTTTGATGTAATACATGAAAATAAGAATACATGTAGAATGAAAAAATTACTGAAAGTAAAATTGAGTAACAAGTGACATATGCGGCATATATGCAACTCTGGAATACACCCAACAGAGCACTGACCAAGACCCTGAATTCAACATTCTCAACAGAGTTGGTTTGTTTGTTTGTTGTTTTACGCCACACACAGAGATATTTCAGCTATATGACAGCGGTCTGTAAATAATCGAGTCTGGACCAGACAATCCAGTGATTGATATCATGAGCATCGATCCACGCACTGGGGATCGATGACATGCACTACGCGGATTCATACATTTTGCACATCGGTTTTTCGATTCATACCTCAATGCACAAATAACAACCTGGAGAGGTGTCCATCGAATCCAATTAAAAAATGGCTCCTTTCTGTAATAGCTGATTCACTGCTTCCATGGCTGCTGACAGCTTGGGATCTTATAAGAAATATCTGTTGCCTACAGTGTAAATGGTCAATGGAGGTTGAAACATCCATTGAAGCCAATAACCCATTCTCAGAACATTAAAAATCCACTGGTCGGACGTTATTGATTTCCAATTCTCGCAAACAGGGAGTGTCGACCGCCCACTGGACCCTCGGTACACAGAATGGGAAAATTGAGGTTCATAAAATCGTAGTGCATGGCCATTCCAAGATCAACAGGATTTGACTTGTGAGATGAAACTAGACGATCATCAAAATGTGTGTTTTCTCCCCTCCCTTGGGAGAAACAGTCAGACCCCTGACCTCCAGTTGTGCGTTTCCTGAAATTTGCTGGGGCATCCGAACTTAGCTTAAATACCGGTTTAGACTGAAATCTACCAGCAGATGATTTCTGTTGAAATTTGGATGATTGGTGAGGTCTAGTTGAAGATAAAAGTTTGCCTCTGGTATTCCTTTGACTGTTTCCTGTCTCTGTTTTCAATCGGGAGGCAGAAGTCACTGCATTGCTCAATCATTAATTAAGCAACATTTGCGTTTTATCCTGTTTGTCTTTTAATGTTTCTGCACACATACCATTAAAAAGTGTGTTAGCCAGTGGCTGTGCATATAATAAATCTTTGGATATGTCTGGGAGATGTGGGACTGCATCTAAATTCTTCATTCTTTCCACATGTTAGCTTGGCAATTGTGTTAACTTGAAACATGGCAGGATCCAACACTAACATATAAATAATGTCAAAAATGAATGTGCCATGGCAACATCTGCCAACATGGTAACCAACGAATCAAGTTGAATACCTGTAGAGCCTTTGAAAGTAGGAGGAAGTAGTGATCTAATTCCTGCCCTCAACTACTTGATGTATGACAAAATATCTGGAGACGTATATGCATATATCTTTTAAATCCTTCTGCCAAACAGACACATGAGAATTTTTAGGTAGTCACAGATATGAGAAATCATTGTCCAATTTAGGCGCATGAGATTCATGAGATGTGCTTATGAATAGCATTAACTGGTTTGGCTGGGGTAGCTTTGCTCCAAACTTCAACTTTGATAAATTTTCATTCATCATAAGTAAAGTCTCATGGACAGTTGTGGAATGCAGCATGGACAATCTAGAATTTTTCTCTGGAATTGAATAATCAGATTTTCCTTATTCCACAGGTAGAACCTTCATTGTTTTTTTCAGTGGTTTGGTAACTGGTATTAACATGTACACTGCTTCCACTTTCTGAGAAATATTCCAACCCCGCAATAAATCATCCAAATTGGTTCTTGGGATGAAATAGGTTGTATGCTTGACCCAAAACCTGTACAACGTGGAAAAACAAGCTGTGGATTCCACCGTGCATGACAGGGTTCGGTCTGCCTGTTGTTCCAAACCCACATCAGGCATTACAAGCTTCTCAACTTGGGGCTAAGCAGAACGGATTTGCCTGAACTTGCCCGCAGCCTGTCAGACAGATCCAGGGTCCCAGGCTCTTTAGCAGGAAACCCACATTGAGTAACCGGTCCCTTTGTTTTGTAAGCCTCAGATAGCTTGGAATCCATTTATCCAGCCATTGTTTAGTTAGCTTAGCTTGCGTAATGATCACTTGCTCAACTCAGTCATCTATTTTAGCAATGTCAAGCGTAATTTCTGAATGAAAGTTCGCAAACACTGAAGATAACAACTGTGTAAATTCATTCAAAAATGGCTATTTCTCTTCCATAAGTTCCTCACTTTTGGTCTTTGCTGATATGACCGAGATAGATGAATCAGAAGGTCAAACTACTTGATTGTTTACGCTTGTCCATTTTAGGTTTATTCCATGCATAACAAAAGGGATAGGGTAATGCTAAGAGTAATCTCTTGTTAATCAGTAACTAGTTTCGAGCTTGATTACTCACATCAAACTAATTTGTTGTGAGCTCCTGAAATGCCATTTTTGTCACAGGCGGTGGGATAGTGATCTAGTGCACTGGTGGACAGATCAATATTCAGTGACCAAATCGACATTGAGGTCCTCCAAAAAGTCTGTCCATTTCTCAAATGGTGAGGTGTACACACATTAGACTGGGCAGAGGTGAAGTCGGTGATGAGCTCAGATCTTGAGTGACTGGCATGGAGGATCCATTTTCGGAGTTCCCCCAACCCATTTCCCCATCTTTATTGCAATGCATAATTAATTCTTTAAATTCCGTCTCCGTAGAATCAACACACATCACAACGATCGGAAAATGAACACTTCTTCATTGAACAATTTCTACACAATAAGTGTGGCTCTGACCTAATTATGAAATTTTTGCACCTGGTGCATTTAGCTTGAGCTCGAGTAGCCATGCGTGATGCTGTACACAATCACCTAAACAAAGAAAATAATTTCCTTACTTGTAAAGTAATATATGTAAGGTAGGAACTAATCAAAAGATACTATGGAGAACCTTGTCTAATAGATCATCAAAAACAATTTATAGAGTATGAATTTGAAAATTGGAGTCGAAATCGGAAGGATTACACATGTGTTGAGGGTAGGGTTTCCTGTGTCAATTGAGATAACTGAAGGAAAGAAACAACACTTACTGCTGAAGAAATTTTATTTTTTAACATATTAGGGCAATATTAGAAGGAATGTTTACATAACACTTATTCCCTTATCTCATTCCACATTGTCTCTGGACAAATGCTACCACAGTGGATGAGTGTCTCCGTGCCCTGTTTGCTGGGCATATTTCAGCTGAATTGGCTAAGACAGAACGAACTTCCTGCTGGGCTCTGTACAGCTTGTGCGAGGAGATCTAGCCTCGGCGCGACATCCACACCTGGGCAGCAAGAAGATTTTCTTGGATATTCAGAAGACATGAACTTATACAAGACATTCATAATCTTGGAGAAAGTACAGTACAATTTAAAGACGTTTTATTATCTGATACAACAGGGTCAAAGTCTGGATTAACCCTTTGCAATTTATTAGCTAGAAGACTTATCACTGTCGCTAGGTGACTTGCTCCTTGCAGATGACCTGAGGTAAGACTCGCACATGCCATGTGCAGTATACCGCATTTTCTTGAGTATAGTGTGCACCCAAGTATAATGCGCACCCCCCTTTCGTGGATCAAGTATTTTGGAAAAATAAAATAGCGGATATTATGCACAATTATTTTTTCACCGTACCCCTTCAGCGAATTCCGGTAAACGAATGGGCAATAAGAAACTTGGTCGGTACAAATTTGAAATTTGAGATAAAAAATCACCAGACATGTTGATTTACTGTTTAAATTGTATTTTTTGTTAAAATCATCAAACTACAACAAATACGACTTTTAACGAGTCAAAGTATGGCAATAATATGCACCCCCTTCTACACAGCTATGTTTTTGGGGAAAAAAGTGTGCACTAAACTCAAGAAAATACAGTAACCATTGTCATCGTAAGAGCTGTTATCAAGCAATACATCAGCTCAAGTAAAAGTAGCTGTAGACTTGTTCTTACTGGTGGCAATAGCAGCACAAGATCTAGCAGAATCAAAGGTTATCCACATGGTACACCTTGGGAATGTTACTATCTCACGAGTAGTTTCCAGAGGGAACATGCTGGCTCTGCAAAATCAGAGATTCATTCATCTCAGGAGGTGCATGGTCAGGCGGAATCTAGAAGAACAATATACATCCCTGTCTCAAGTAGAGGGCACGGGAGTCGGCCTGATGGGTACATCCCGGTAATGGTACACTCCTTGTAACTGTGAAATCTCTTGTTTGACAGATGTGAGCTCTTGACGAATCATGTCACTCATGGAAGCACATAATTCGGACTGTATCTTCATAGTCTGTTTCTCAAAGAATTCCTCCATTTTGAAAGGAACAGACACCGACAGCTTATGTTTTAATTGCGAGTACTCTCAACCTGCAAGTCCAGGTATTCAGTGTATTCTTTGGAACTGTGGACTACCTTGTCCTTCTCCTTGGGGTGGAAAGCAGAGGGTGCAAAGTGCTTCCCACTCTCACCATGTTTGCACTTCTTACACACTGCATCCTCATGATGGAGTGTCACTTTATCCCTCGACAATCTCTTGTCCTTCTTAGAGTAAAAGAGCTTGAACAAATTTTCCTGAAGCTTTCCCAGAAAGTTGAACACAGAGGGAATTTAGAGTTCCAAACTTCTGGAAGTCTAGCAAAATCTGATTCAAAACCGAATCATACATTTCACATCTTGTTTCTAATACAATGTAGTGGAGCAGCTAAGGCTAAAAAAGGGTTGAATTCAGCACTTTGAGTAAAAAGCATGAAACTTGGTACAATAAATGCTTTAACCTTGGCTATAGGGCCAAGGGAAATGGCCACCATTCTTAATATGGCCGCACTTTAAGCCTGAAATTCTGCCTGTTCCTTGGTAGTGTTCATGGAGAGTGCTACTGAAGCTATCACTGAGAAGAACTGGCAAAATCATTTGTATGGAACCCAATTTTTACTGTTATGTGAGTATAATATGTTGAAAAGTGCAAAACTAAAAGCAAAAAAATAATAATTTCAAGCAAAAAATGAGAAAAATACTAAACTCAAGCATTTATAAGATGTGAGGTGAAAGATTATTGTACTTATACAGCGACTTGCATGCATGTGTGTGTGGCTGCTTGTACTAGTCCGGACTGATGCCGATTTTATAGTGCCAACCTACTGAGATATCATGCTGCATAAGATTCATACGTGAACAACTAAAGGCATAATGTTTACAAATGCCAAAAATAAGGATAATTTTTGTGGCCATATTGAAAAGGAATGGCTGGCCCTGTAGCCATAAATGCTTGTACTGGGAATGAAGAACCTGTGTACAATTTTTCATGCTTGTATCTCTATGTGAAAAATTCAGTCAAAACCCGCTCCTCTATAACATGCATATAGTATCCCTGCACCTGAAGCATGATATATGAGGACCCAAGGAAATCGGAGGTGCCGCAATCCGGGCACCGTGAATTAGTATATATGTGAATATCAGTGAATAATGACTGCACGTAACGAGAAACTAGTTATGTGTAAGCTGAGAAAAATCTTAGACTTAGGTACGAGCCTTAACCCTTGTGTACTTAACTAATATTAAATAGCTGGCAGTGAAGAGAACATCTATTGAAGAATAAAGATTTTATGGTGTGAGGACAGACAATATGCAGGATTATGGTTATGCTATGATGTAAAAAAGATTGGGTGTTTGAAATAATTCAGAGAATTGTATCATTTTTGTCACTGAAGGATCACATTTTAAGTAACTTACCTTGACTAAGGCACCAATTACACCCAGACTGGTAAGTCGGAGATACTCAAAAGGTCTGGTCTTACTGACAGTGTGCAGGAATGGATACAGGAATAGTGGTATATGAGCTGAAAAAGAATGATGCACATCTTAAGATTAAAATCTATATATCATCAGAAAATTGTAAATTTTACATTAAATTGAATATTCATTATACTTATCTTATCTCACACTGTGCATTTCTCTGTTTTTAGCCAATCTTGGAGTTGAAACGATCCTTGAACCTGTTTCCAGCCTAAAAAGACACCTCACGCAAACACATCCCAGCTGTAACCATGGTCACCACTATATCCACTTGTCTTTGCAATGCATGGACCTCATGCTGCCTGACTACGTGGTCTGACCTGCCAATTCATTTTATCACCAATATATATGATTTAATGTGTAAATTTACAAAAATATTAAAAGTTATCCCATCTCAAACTGTGCATTAATCCCATGGTTGGAAGGTGGGATGCAAATACCAAAGCCTGAAACAGACCTCAACCGTGAGATTTACACAAGGAAGCTGGTCCTAGAAGAGAGTGAGTAAGTTAAATTTAACGTTGCATCATGATTATTTCAGCCATTATAGCGACTGATCCTAGAACAATGATCCAATCAAAGATCGATGACGAGAACTCATGTATGGGTAGCTTAAAGAAAATCTTTGTGCCTCTGGGACTATCATGATGTCGGGCAACTCATGCAGTTTTGTGTCTTATGCACAGGATGGCCGCGTAGCATGGAACAAGAGCAGACTTGCTTGCCCACTACTAGAAAAATTTCCCGGGTTCAAGAGAGATACAACCAGTCCTTGGTTCATCTCTGGTCCAGAAGTGACGTTCTGCAAACAGATTCCCTCATACATCATACAGACGTAACTCCGAACAGTTTGGCATCTTGTTAAACGCTTTGTTCAACCCACCAACCACGACTGCAGTGGTTGCTCAAGCATGAACGAGAAGAGGAATGATCAACAACACCCATAAGGGTCTCCAAACTGACCAATCAGACAAACAATACTCAGAGCCAAGGAGAGCGAGGGGAAGATTAAAGAAACCGTAAAAAATTGTCTGTGCTGTGGTGTGATTTCGATGCTGTAGACTTTCAGTCACTACAGGCGAATATCATTCCCCGACAGGATGTTCAAGTCTGGGTAACCCAAAAAACAAATAGAAACAAATCTAACAGACTCAATTAAGACAAAAATTCTGATCACAAAACCTCTTCCGATCCTCTGGACGTCACACAATGATAATGGCTGGGATGTGTTTGGGTGAGGTGGTTTTTGAGACTGAAAACAGGTTCAGGATCGTTTCCACTCTAGGATCAGCTGAGAACAGAGAAATGCACAGTGTGAGATAGGATAAATTTTAAAAATCTAGAGTGTCAGAGATTGTGAGATTGGAAATTGTCCTTATTAACATCAATAGAAACATACTTGTTCCTGTTTGGACACATGAAGATTTGGGTTAAAATTGGTCCGCAACAACCCATGCTTGTGTCATAGGCGACTATGCTTGTCGTAAGAGGCAACTAACAGGATCGTATGGTCAGGCTCCCAATTGTGTGGATCGATGCTCATGATGTCAATCACTGGATTGTCTTGTCCAGACTCAATTATTTACAGACCGCGTCATATAGCTGGAATATTGCTGAGTGCGGCGTTAAACAAACAAACAACTGTTACTGTTTAGCAGCACTGCCTTTTTACTCAAATATATGAAAATATATCAAAATGAGCCCCCAAACTTGTCAGAAGATATGACTAAATGGACATTGGGTAATCATTCATTGTGTTGAACATCCAGATGGCTTATACATTGCTCATGCTCCTAACGGCTCGTTTTGTCTGTCCCAGACTCAATTATTCACTTTTCTTACACACCTGTGGGTGAGAAACCAATTTTTGATAACTGGTATCAAACATATAGGTGAGATCGAATTCCAGGCCTGTGATAGGCTAATCCATGGTGATGACCTGAGGTCAGATGATGACGGACTACTTTCCTGAGTGTAAGTCATTCATAAGTTACTCGTGCTTCAGTGGAATGTTCACCTACGTTTGTATTGAACCACAGGACAGTGTAATTAATAATAATAATAATAATAATAACAATAATAATAATAATAAACAAACTCGGCCTCATCTGCGAGTTTGTTATTATTATCAGTTACATTATCTGTTGTTATGTCAATGTTATCGTTTTTTGAGTGTAAACCCCCTGGATGCCACAGCGACACATGTACCTCCTCTTCAACACTCACCATTCACTTTGAAGTCGAATAAAATTCAAAATACATCATGCAAACTAATACACATCACAGTTTTGAAGTCCCCCTTCTGTTTATCATTTACAGTCATTTTAGGCAAAGCAAATTTACTGAAAGTGACTTCTGAAAATTAGGTTCATTGTAAATCTCGCCAATCACAATTCATGGCGTTATTTACTGTGTGTTTAGAAATCTAAATATCAGATATTTATTCGAAAAATTAAAGTAGAAAAATAGCATATTAGTGATGACGGGTATCAAATCACTTATGATAATTCTGAAACATCGCTGATAGCCTAGAATCGTTTAGAATGTTTTGGAAAATATGCATACACGAACGCCGAAGTGTACGCCATATTGGATTGTGTTTACAAAGTGCCGGTCATGAGACGCCTATTTGATCAGGTATATTTCAAACTCAGCTGCTATACATGCATCCCTGAATTCCTCATACATTTTAGAATCAAATGACAAATGGTCTTTGTCACCTATGCAAATTATCTAGATGAAATGCGAAATAAATTAGGTGTGAAAAACGAACACTGTGCTCAGAAAAATGTACTTGCTGAAATGTAAACAAAGCAAAATACAGATTTTACACTGTATAGCATTTTTAGAAGTACTTTCGTCTAATTGTTGCATACATTGGCTCGATCACAAGTTTGAGAATATTCATGGGAAGAGTATGGTTGTACTTATTATGGAATTTCAAATATATACATTACAATGACGTGGTAAATTCAACAGAAACCGTAAAAGTTTCCGTCCTGTGTGACACCACGACTGATGCTAAATCACGCACAATGATGACGGTAGTTATCTGCATTTCTAACTAATTCTCTTTGTTACATTAGAAAGCATGGTAAACCAATAACAGTACGCAGATTGTCAGAATGTTTCTGATTACTTACGTGACACAATTATTTATATACAATCCCTCAATCAACGAAACCCTCCTCTGTAAATCCAGCATACTGTTGTCAGTGAACACGCCATTTTGTAAAGGTAGGTTACCGGAAGTGATGTCATACGGAAGTAAACATTGTTGTAATTTCTTAGAGGTGTAAACTTTTAATTCGGCATCCAGCGTGTTCTTTGTTTCTGTTGGGAGGCAAGTTTGCGATGGGTGGGCCTTAAACGTAGTAATGCAGGATAAGTATACAACTGTAAAAAATATTTAGATTTTACTAAATGTTTCATTTATCCTGCATTACTCCTTAATGCATCTGTATCGAACGGTTTTGAGGTGGGAAACCCTCAAAATACAGAAACCTCAATAATGAAGAAACAACACCCTGAAGAAACAACATCAGTAGTCGATAAACCGTGAAGAGAAAAAGTTCAGAAAAACGCCATTACGGTCAGGGTATTTCCATGTGAAAAACAATTGGACATATGAATTAAACAGTAGCTCCTGATACACCATAGTAATAAAAGATCAAATTTGCTTACAAGCTAAGTCTTACTTACTACGACATAGAGCCCTTGTAGACAATCAATTGTCTAATTTTCTTCCACTGGTGAAATCTAAGCGACTGCACTGGAAATGGAAAGGCTCTGTATAGGGCAAGTTCATTATTTGCTCCGGGGGTTGGTAACCTGCTGGGCTACAACCAACGGCCCATAACTTCATACACTTTCGACGTCCTCGAGAGTTATATCATGATATAACATATATACAAGTTTCTTAAGTAGTATAGGTAATGATGGTTCTGGCTCACTTCCACTGGAACTGGATTTATATACCTATACCATCACTACAGATGGAATTTTTATGCCAAAATGACTATGCAATTCAATGATAGTCATGAGATTAAGTTAAATCGGCTCTAGCTCACCACCACCTGGAGCCAATGCTATAAATTTTTATAGGTAATAGGGGTTCTGGCTCACTTCCACTGGAGCCAGGTTTATTACCTATACTGCTACTACAGGTGGCATTTTTTATGCCAAAATGATTATGCGATTCAACGATAGTCATGAGTTGTATTAAACGAAACATCAATATTAATTAATAATGGATAAAATTTACTATAGCCCACGAGGATATTGGAAAGGTGTAGGAGCAATAAAAAAATTAGCCACCGCTGCTAAGGTATCTAAAGATGTGGCCAAGGATTGGTTAAAGAAACAAGCGATGTGGCAGATATATTTACCGGCACCGCGTTATATACCGAGGAAGAAGTTTGATATTTTTACGACGAATGAAGTTCATCAGGCTGACCTCGTTTCTTCCCCACGATAAGGTAAAACGCAAAACGTACAAATACGCTTTAACAGTAGTGGATGTGGCTAGTCGATACAAAGAGGCTGAGCCATTAACATCTAAAGAATCAACAGAGGTAGCTAATGCACTGAGTCGCATATATATAAGCGGGCCGCTAAAATGGCCTAAGCTGTTTCAAGTAGATCCCGGTCGCGAGTTTATGGGATCGGTAACTAAACTGTTAACAAAGAACGATGTCGAAATCATCCGTGGTGAAAGAGAGGCCCACCGCAGTCAAGCTATCGTCGAAAGATTTAACCGGACATTAGCGGAACGTTTGTTTGGTTATCAGTATGGGATCGAAATGAAATCCGAGCGATTGAGATCAACCGAATGGGCGACACGATTATCAGCCGTTGTATCAGCGCTCAATAATGAAGTAACGAGATTAATAGGGAAGAAACCATCCGATGCTATTAAAATGAAATCCGTGACTTCCGAATCTTCAGCACCGAGGAGAGGCAAAGAACGAAAACTTCCGGATAGAGTAAGGGTAAGATATTTATACCAGGCCGGTGAACTCGAAGGAGGCCTACGTCGCGCAAC